AGGCATTGAAACACATCATCATCATCATCATCAAACTTTATTTATAAAGCTCTATAACATCAGGCACTGCTGAAACAAAGTGCTGAACCAATGAAAATAAAAACTCAATACAAAAACACAATAAAATCACAGTTAAATAAGTAAAATCAGCACCAACACAGTAAAATTTGAGTAAAACCAAATCTCAGTTGGGTTAAAGACCAGTGAGTAAAAAATAAGTTTTTATGCAAGTTTTAAAAATGGACAGTGAAGGAGCCTGTTGGACATGTAAAGACAAGGTGTTCCACAGTTTAGGGGCACTAACAGAGAAGGCCCGGTTAAATTTAGAAAATATTATATTAACTACAAACACCTGAAGCTGACTCAGAGAACTCTGTGATTTTAGAAACAAATCAAAGTCAAATGTAGACACGTCTTTAAAAGACCCCCTCCACCCACCCACATGTGATTAATACTGATTTTCTTTGTGCAAATTACAGATATTTGATGCACATTATATAAGTAACCATCTGAAGGGGTTGACATGTGGACTCTGAAGTCCTGGGCAGGTCAGAGCTGCGCTACAGGTGGACAGCTGGACAGGTGGACAGCTGGACAGGTGTACAGGTGGACAGGTGGTCATGTGGACAGGTGGTCATGTGGACAGGTGGTCATGTGGACAGGTGGACATGTGGACAGGTGGACATGTGGACATGTGGACAGGTGGACAGCTGGACAGGTGGACAGGTGGTCATGTGGACAGGTGGTCATGTGGACAGGGACAGGTGGACAGCTGGACAGGTGGACAGGGACAGGTGGACAGCTGGACAGGTGGACAGGGACAGGTGGACAGCTGGACAGGTGGACAGGTGCAGCTGCTGTAAGTCGCTGCCCCTCACTTTAAAACCAGTCAGCTGATGTGTGGCGGTGGTGTTGTGCTCGTGAACACCTGGTGTTGGTGGAAATGCTGCGAGGTGCTTTTAGAAATATAAAATATATAAAATATGACGTAATCCTCGGTGGAAGATAGTCCAGGAAACACTGAGGGCTTTCCTTCACACAGTGGATCACAGGATACTCGTAAACTGGAAGCCCTGGGGCTCCAGAAACCAGTTGTAAACTGGTTCAAAGACTACCTGGATAACAGACAGCAGTAGAAATCGGAGGCGTAACTTCCACTACAACAAAAGTGACATGCGGAGTCCCACAGGGTTCCATTGTCGGACCGTTACTATTCCTCACATATGTTAATGACATGTCTGCTGCTGTAAACTGCAAACTGCTGTTATATGCAGACGACTCGACTCTCCTCACAGCTGGTAAAGACACCTTAGAAATTCAGCAATGCCTCACGTCAGAACTTCACTCTGTCCATGAATGTCTTACAGACAACAAGCTGTCTCTTCATCGTGGAAAGACAGAAACAGTCCTCTGGATCCAAACGAAGGCTCACTGGTAAAGATCCACTGGAAATTAAATGTGATGGCCACCCCCTCTCCTGCAAACCAAGTGTTAAATACTTAGGATTGGTGCTGATGAAAGAGTCTTAGGCAGTCAAACAGCCGACACTCATCAGAACACCTAATGTCAAACAGCCGACACTCATCAGAACACCTAATGTCAAACAGCCGACACTCATCAGAACACCTAATGTCAAAC